AAGAACCTTCAGTAAGGGGGACTGAAAGAAGTAGAGGATTGAAGATCATTGAAGTAGAATTGAATAAGGGGAAGCCTAAGGAAACTTTTAGCAAGCGCGAAGAAGAAGTTTAAACAGTTTTGAGGAGGCTTGCACAAACTGGAGTAAACTCTTGAGCGGCCTTTGGAAACCTTACAGAAGAGGAAACTTAAAAGAGCTTTCAGAAGGTTAAAAAAGCCCGGAGAAGTTTAAAAAATGTTAATTTAATAACTTTAAAAGTTTTTGGGACCTGAGCTTCAGTAATAGTTGAACAGGCTTGACGACTGTTGTCAAAGGTTACAGTGGATAGAGGATGGAAGTTAATTGGGTGTATGTAAACTTGAAGAGGAGTGGAACAGCTTGAAAATTCTTGAAAATGCTTGAAGAAGATTGGGGAAACTTGATGAACCTTGGGAGAAAAGAGATGTTAATGAAAAAGGGAAATAAATACATTGACACAGTTCTACCAGTTTCTCTCATTTTTTTTTCATTATACAGTGATATTCATTAAGAAGTAGACATAGGGACTTACATCTATTGTTTTTCCCTATGTCTACTTTTAAATGACAAAATCTCTTCTGAAAGGCACCTAATTTTATGCATCTAGAATAACTTCTTAAAATAAATAAAGATCTAGCTGTCATATTTACATAATTTGAATATTGTTGCTTTGACTTCACCGAAAATAAATCTCTTATGGTCCTAAAACTGTTACCGGCACTATACGAATTGACAATATCAACTTTTTCTTCAATTAAATACATCGCACACAAACAAAAATAAAAATACGGAATCCAAACGAGATCTTTATTTGTTTTAAAAAGTTATTTTGGTTGCATAAAATTAGGCGCCCTTCAGAAGAGATTTTATCATTTAAAAGTAGACATAGGGAAAAACAATACACGTAAATCCCTATGTCTACTACTTAATAAATAGCTCTGTATAGTTCAAGAAAATTACAGGGCTTGCTTTACCTTGGTAAAGATTTTTAATTGGCTCCATTTTCTGGTGATTGTAGAGAAAGAGGGTTCATCACATTTTTCTTCACTCGGGATTATTCGAGTGCTGTGATTGGTTGGGGGTATTCCATACCCCCCAGACCCCTCGGAGCTGCTTTCTGCCTTAAAACTTTCAGCCTTTCAGGACCCCAATTGCACTTTACAAAAAGACAACCGAATTTTTCTTTCTTGATACATTCAAAGGTCCCCTCTTGAAATGAATAGGGGGTAGTAAAGGGCACTACTCAGTTTGATTGAAAATTTAGATTTGGGGGTTGGGGGGGGGGGATGGAATACCCCACAATATACGAAGGATTTCATGGTGGTGATTCTAGAGAAAGAGGGTCCATCAAATTTTTCTTCACTTGGGGGGTTTCGAGTACTGTGTTTGGATGGGGGGGGGGGGTATTCTATACCTCCCAGACTCCCCCCGGAGCTGCTCCCCGTCTTAAAACCTTCAGCTTTTCCGGACTCTCTTACACTTTACAAAAAGACAATCGAATTTTCCCTTCTTGATACTTCCCCCTCCGAAGAATGTATAGGGGGGTAGTAAAGAGCACTACTCAGTTTGGTTAAAAATCTGGACCCGGGGGTGTGAGTGGTATGGAATACCCCACAGTATACGAACGATTTCATGGTGGTGATTGTAGAGAAAGGGAGTTCATCAAATTTTTCTTCACTGGAGGGTATTCGAGTACTGTGTTTGGAAAGGGGAGGGGGTATTTTATACCTCCCAGGCCTCCCCCCTACCGGAGCTACTCCCTGCCTTAAAACCCTCAGATTTTCAGGACTCTCATTACACTTTACAAAAAGACAATTGAATTTTCCTTTCGTGATACGTTCAAAGTTCCCCTTCTCAAATGTATAGGGGGTTACTAAAGGCCGCTACTCAGTTTGGTTAAAAATCGAGATCCCGGGGTCCGGGTGGTATGGATTACCCCACGGTATACGAACGATTCCATGGCGGTGATTATAGAGAAAGGGGGCTCATCAAATTTTTCTTCACGGGGGAGTATTCGAGTGCTGTCATTGGTTGGGGTATTGGCCCCACAGAGCTGTCTTCTGCCTTAAAACTTTCAGCCTTTCAGGACCCTTATGGCACTTTACAAAAAGGCAACCGAATTTTACTTTCTTGATACACTCAAAGGGCACTACTCAGTTTGATTGAAAATCTAGATTCGGGGTTGGGGGGGGGGGGGGGGGGTGGAATACCCCACAATATACGAAGGATTTCATGGTGGTGATTCTAGAGAAAGAGGATTCATCAAATGTTTCTTTAATGGCGAGTATTCGAATACTCTGGGGATATTCCATACCCAGACTCCTCAGAGGTGCCTCCTGCTTTAAATTAGAAAAAAACAATCGAATTTTCCTTCCTTGGCTTGTTCAAAGCCCCCCTCTTGAAATGTATAGGGTGAGTAGTAAAGGGCACTATTGGTTAAAAATACTGAACCGGGGGGTCTGGGGGGTATGGAACATCCCTCAGTATACGAATCATCATGATGATGATTCTAGAGAAAGAGGATTCATCAAATTTTTCTTTACTGGGAGTAGTCGTGGAGGGGGGGGGGTATTCCATGCCCCTTAGATCCCACGAAGCTATCTCTTACTTTCTGGGCATTGCAAACTAAACAAACACATAAAATAAAAAAATAAAAAAACATGTGCTATTGTCTGCGTTTTGTCGATCCGTCCGTCCGTCGGTCCGTCCATCCGGACCCACTTCTGCCGTTTTAAACTACTTCTAGGGGATTGGTGCTAGAATCCTGGAATTTTTTGCAGTAGGTAGCCTATACCTTGAAGGTGTGCCAGACGTCCATAAAATTTCGCTGTCTAAAAGGCCCTCCGCCCTCGAATTATTTCCTGAGATGCTGTTTTTGAAAGTAAAACGTGCGTAACTTTTACATACAACAAATTAGTTGTGCCAAGGGGGGGGGTTAACACATGTTCTACCCTTCATGGTATTCTAATGAAAGGTCTCATCGAAATAAATTGGTTTGTACAAAGTATAACTTTCCCATGCGACTCTTTTTCGCGATAAGTGAGCGAAGGAGCCTAGGGGGGAGCGTTAAAAATTAATTTTATCTCTCATTGTATTCTAATTAAAGGTCTCAACCAAAGGAATTAATTTCTACCAACCATAGTACTCCTCCTCGACGTCTTATCGTGATTTGGTATATTCCCTTATACCTCAAAAACGGATTGTCGGAAGAGGGTACTCATAAAGGGCGATCGAGACGTCTGAAAGAAATATATCCATTGGTGATGTCAAAACAAAAGCTATTTCGGTTAAAAAACATGCGCTTTATCTGCACAAGAGTTGTGCACAATTTATACTTGTTTTTCTTTCTTGGCAGTTACTCCATTCGTTCAAAGTCCCTTTACAACATACTGTATAGGACGAGTGTTCGTTTTCGAATTTTCTTTAGAGTCCGCGGAATTTCTGAAAATCTCTTAAAACCTTCTTAGGCTTTTTGGAATGTTCTTTTTAGAATCTTCAGAAGCATTAAAATTTTCTTAAAGCCTTCCTCAACTCTTTCAGAATCATCACCCATTTTTTTTAATTCTCTTAAAAGATTCATTTCGAGTTTTTTTAGACTCTGCGGAATCCTCAGGATTTTCTTAAAGCCATCTTCTGCTCTTTTTACGATCTTTTCGAAATTTATTTATAGTCCTTTGAGAATCTTTCTCTCGAGTTTTTTTTTTTAATCTGAGGAGTCTTTGGAATTTTATAGGCTTCCCCTCTCAAGTTTTTTAGAGGCCTCCTAATTCTTAGAATTTTCTGGAGGACCCTTCATTCCATAGATCGCTAAAGTCTCTTACGTCCCTTCTACCCTTTATATTGCAGACACACTAGAAGCATTTAGATTCCAAAATCTTCGATACTCACTTCACCGTTGAGCCTCCCCGTATTTGGTACATAGCCATCCCGTGAATTCCTTAAAAGGCCTAGATTATTAGATTATCTACAACCCTTATTCTCATCATCTCTAAATCTCCTAAATCCCCCACACCCAGGATCCCTGGAATTACTTTGATACCTAGCATCCCTTGGGTAATTTCGATACCTAGGCGCCTGGCCATCATGATTCCTTGAATCCACTATCTTACAAAATCCCCTAGAGTGCCTAGGATGCCCTAGATTTCTTACGTTTCCTATATCTATGGGACGATTTCTCTCTCTCTTGGACCCTTGAGGTTCTTGGGTCTTGGGCTAATTTAAATTATTAAATTCTACAAAGCTCCGATTTATCAGATTCTTCAAATTGATTCGATTTTTTACATTCTTCAGATTACCCACCCTTGGATTCTTCAGGGCTTAAAATTGTCTACATTTTTCAGGTTGTTCCATGTCATAGAATTTTCCGAGCCCTTTCGATAATTCACATTCTCCAAATCCTTCCGATTTCTAAGATCTTTTGGAGAGGAATTGAACATGCTTGATGAATTCTTTGAGAGGAATTCTTTTATTTCGTTTTTTTGTTGTGTTTTGCTCCCATTTCATTGTACCTCTCTTCCTTACATTAATTTCGAAAGCGATTTTGGGATTTTTTGTAGCAAATTCACAAAAAATAACAAATGGCAGTTTTATGGCCGTTTGCACTGACAAATTTAAGCGGAGCTTAGCTTATGCGTAACTTAAAATCCATGGCAACCACTGTCACAATAATCGTTGCCATGGATTTTAAGCTACGCTTAAGCTAAGCTCCGCTTAAATTTTTCGGTGCAAACAGCCATTATTGTTTGTAGCCGGTTCATAAGAGCAGACGTTCTCGTCAGTCGACTTGACTAAATTAAAAAAGAGATTGCTAGTATGTTCAACATTAGACAAAGTCAGAGACACTATGACTTGTGTTTGTAAATACGTAAAGTTTCCCATTGGTCATCCCACTATTGTAGTAGGGCAGCACCAATTATGCAATTAGTGTAGAGGTAATATTTTTGATTTTCCATATTTTAATACTGTCTTTTTTTTTGTTTCAGGTCAGTCGATCTCGAACCAAATTTGGTAAGACTGTTTCCTTTTAAAATTGCGCGCAGTCATTTCACGCTCTATCGCCGCCGATAAATGCTATTACTTAACGTCTTTATTCGCAATTTTTCAAAACAATTAATAATAATAAATTATGTACACACAATCGCGCGCAATGGAATCCCGTCCTGCGACTGCGAGGTCATCGCGTGCAAGTGCTGCTAATTGGCGACTTTAATCTAGTTTGCGCATTTTTCGTAGGTTTTTGTCCTAGACGGTCCGTCCGCTAGACGGTCACCGTTACAAATACTGACTTAGTGAAAGCGATTCGGCCGCTAATGGAAAGTCGCGTAAATTCCGCGTTTACTAATTGAGCAGTAGAATGGGCGCAAAATCCCAATTCGGGCGGAGAGGATCGATCGATACGCCTTGAGCCAGATAATTTCATTAACAAAACCATTAAACCTCCGCGGGTGACATTAAGTTCCATTGCCATCATTGCCCATTTTTTGCCGTTGTTGCATTCATTCCTCGCTGGGGAGGTCTGACAAAAGTTTAAAGCGCGCTCGATCAAAGGTCCTCAAATTAATGAGTATTGTCCCGTATTAACAGATTAAAATTTATCTGCTTCATAAATAACGCTATAATTATCTTCAAGGTAAGTTTCGTCCATACATACACGATCTATATCTAAAGAAACGCATATATCGATAATACTTTCACAATATTTTTAGTGTGTAAATATAAAATTTATTATCATGCATGCAAATATGCGGCGTGTGGTATGTGATCTTTAAAGAGATGACGCAACTGCCCTTTAGAGGTGTATTTATCTTCGTTATAAAAAAATGAATAATTTGTGCTATTTTTCGAAAAACAATTTTCTCCCCATGAAACTGGTCCAAATATAAATTATATGGTTTGAAAAGCGGAAAAGGCCAAGGTGTTCGGGCGTGGGCGTTTATCGCTCGTAATTCTTTAATTACCTTCCTTGGGGGCAGGAACTTGCGTTTGGTATGGTCAGTCTTAAATGAAACCTTCGCAATTTCATTTCCCTCGGTGATATTAATATGAAGTTGTGATTCTACTTCAGGACGTAAACCATGCATATCTCAGCTGGGGGAAGCCTGATGGTTTTTGATTACCAAAGATAATCGGACAAGCTGGATGGCGTTAGAGACGTTTATAGACGCTCAAAGAGAGGCTTGGAGGAACTTCAGCATCAATCACGTCTTTGTTTTAAATCGCAATTGACGGAAATTTGTTTCGTTTTACACGATAAAAAGAGACAATATAATGTTTCATTTCTTACCCTGCGAATTACGCTTTCCTTGTTAAAATTCTGTAGAGTTGGCAAACCAAGGAAAATTAACGAAGTATCGCCACCATTGCTTTCCATCATGAAATATGCGTTTTAAGTCAGCTTAGTATAGGGGAAATGAGCTTTGCACGAAGTTATTGATTCTGAATGGAGTCTGAGGGGTATGGAATGCCCTCAGTAAAGGAAAATTACTTTACTGATTCATTTTACATGGTGCTAACTTCCATAGGCTTTTTTCTACAAAACTCAGTGCTAAAGAGCTAAGGCCAAACATTTTAGGGGCGAATCGTAGCACCGGGAGTATGGAATACCTCCTCACCAAAGGGACGTAGTCTACCCTTCTTTAAAAATCTTCACTTCTATGGTTTAAATACTCATACGAATGTAAATCTGTTATACATTGGGGAGTATTCCATACCCCCCTGCACTGCTACGTTTGTACTCCAAACTCTAATCCCTGAGAAATACTGTCTTGATATGTTCAAATAATATCGTACGACCTCCTCTTCTAGACGAATCCATCCACGGGATCCATAGACCTTTCTGTAAAGAACTTACTACTAAATGTAAACATTTGCAAGTTTGGGAGGTACGGAATACCCCCCAGAAAACGGAACGTTGTTTACCCTTCTTTTAAAATCTTCCCTTCCATCATGATATGGTTCAAATACTCATACGAATGAAAATCTCGTATATATACGGGGGGGGGGGGTCCTTATCATCCAGAACCCCTTCCCATGCTCCACAGATTCGTGGTGCTAACTTGCATAGCATCAATCACCTCATTGTTTTAAATCGCAATTGACGGAAATTTGTTTCGTTTTACACGATAAAAAGAGGTAATGTAAAGTTTCATTTCTTACACTGCGATTTAATCTTTTCTTGGTGAAATTCTGTTGACAGCCTTAGAGTTCGCAAACCAAGGAAAATTAACGAAGCTTTGCATAATGAAATATGCGTTTTAAGTCAGCTTAGTACAGGGGAGATGAGCTATGAACGAAATTATTGATTCTGACTTGAGTCGCCAATCAGGAAGGTTCGCGTTTGGTCAGTACGGCTACACAGGATCGTGGGTGATTAGCATCGGTAGTGTTTGCTCTACAAACTAAACATTTTGTATGATAATGTACCTCCGGGGGGTCTGAGGGGTATGGAATATCCCCCAGTAAAGGAAAATTACTTTACACTTATTCATTTTACATGGTGCTAACTTCCATACGCTTTTCTCAACAAAACTCAGTGCTAAAGGAATACATTTTTGGGGTGAATCATCGCACCGGGAGTCTGGGGGGCATAGAATACCCGTCCGAAAAAGGAACTTTGTCTACTCTTCTTTTAAAATCCTCCCTTCCATCATGATATGGTTCAAATACTCATACGAATGAAAATCTCGTATATACTGGGGAGTATTCCATACTTTCCAGGCCCCCTCGGTGCCACGTTTTTACTCCAAACTCTAATCCCTGAGAAATACTGTCTTGATATGTTCAAAATATATCGTACGACCATCTCTTCTTGACGAATCCATCCACGGGATCCATAGACCTTTCTCTAAAGAACTTAATACCAAAGGTAAACATTTTTAGGTGTGAATCGTAGCACCGGGGGGCAATCGGAACGTAGTTTACCCTTCTTTTAAAAGCTTCACTGCCATCATGATATGATTCGAATACCCATACGAATGAAAACTTCGTATATATACGGGGGAGGGGGGTTATTCCTAATCACCAAACCCCCTCCCCGTGCTCCACAGATTCGTGGTGCTAACTTTCATAGCACCAATCACGTCTTTGTTTTAAGTCGCAAATGACGGAAATTTGTTTCGTTTTACACGATAAAAAGAGATAATACAATGTTTCATTTCTTACACTGCGAATTAATCTTTCCGTGATAAAATTATGTTGAAAGCCTTAGAGTTGGCAAACCAAGAAAAATTAACGAAGTATCGCCACCATTGCTTTCCATCATGAAATATCGGTTTTAAGTCAGCTTAGTATAGAGGAGATGAGTTTTGCACGAAATTATTGATTCTGATTTGAGTCGCCAATCAGGAAGGTTCGCGTTTGGTTAGTACGGCGCTTTTCTAAGTAATTAAATTTGGCGTGCGGAATAACCGAGCTTAGAAGACAAACTTAATAGTTCAAAGCGACGTTTAGTGTCCATAAAATTAGTAGTTCTGGAAAATTATTATTTTCCCCAGTGGAAAGGTTGCGTAAAAAAGTGAAGCTCCCATTTTAGAGTAAAATAGAAAAAGTGCACGTCAGTTTTCGCTACCCTTTACAGGATTCTTGTCGTTACCGCGCACATTTAATATTCCACAGAAGTGCCATCATTAACGTGATCCAAAATTACGCCAAGGAACATTTTACATTACCGTGTAGAAGGTGCTATTCAGCAAATTTCACAAACTTTTTGCCGCCCTCTACGCATTGCCGCAAGTTAGAAAGAGAGAATCTCTAATATCCCGTGTAAAACGAAATTGCGATCAAGAAAACTGTTAGCAAACTCTTTAGATTAAAAAAATGTACTGAAAGGAATTCAAAAATATTAAACCGAAAGTTTCAAGAACAAATCTTTAAAAGCGAGTTTATGGTAGTGCTCGTTTGCCAACCCAAAATGTACATCCAGATCCAGAAGGATCAACAACCGAAATCTGCAATTCAATCGAGTGAAAGAGGTCCAGGTAGAATTTTATAAAAAGCAATGTAATCAAGGAGATGCATTACTTGACTGGTTGTATTCGATTCCGTGATATACAGAGTTGTTTACTCTACAAACTGTTATACAAATACAAGGCTGATTTAAATGTTAATGGTAAAAAATGTAACCATTTTTAATCATCCCCGGTGCACCCCAAGAGTCTACTGTAGGGCCTTTGGTATTTAGAGCGTAATCCATGTTCTTTTTATTCTGAATGGTGTACACAGTACAAGATTTGTTATTATGTCCCGGAAATGGTAATTTTTTTGGAATCAGACAACAGTTGCTCCATTACATAACATTTTAAAGCAACCGCGTGTAGATTAATTTGTAATCTAAAATGTTTAAACTTACTTATTGACAAGCGAAAAATTATCGACCACATGTTTATGTAAAAAGAACACACGCACTTTCAGTATGGTGAAAGCCTTTTAAGTAGATCACCTTTTTTGAGTGACCCAAACGGACGATACCAATGGTGGCGTCACCGGAACGATTAATTACGTTATCGCGCCTCGCCCAGTCGGGGTGGCGCGCGCGTACCCAAAGAAGCGGGACAATCAAATTCGATCTGGTTTATTTGGCATTTTTCGATTAGCAGCCTTCGCGAGTCCATAAACCACTCGCAAAAAAAAGGGGCGACATGGGGGGAGAACGCTCGACTGAACGGAACGACGTTAATTATATTATCCGCGTTCTTTTTTTTCTGTTCGTGGCGCGGATCTCTAACGTTTTATAAATGGCGTAATTATGTCGCGTGCTTCGTATTATTAATTTTTGCTCGTTTTTATGCGCGCTTGCAGATGGTCTAATAAACACGTGGTTTACGATTCGTTTTACCACTAAATGTAATGACTTTGAATGGCAGTTTAAATTATTATAAATGTTAATTATAGCTTCCATTTGTTAAGTCGAATTCCTGATTTAAAATACTGTCCGTTTTTAATTTCTCGCATTCTGATCTGTTCGCCAAATGCCTCGATCAATTTGTTACGAAAATTCCTCGCAATCTAAC